TTTTTTTTTCAAGTCTACAGTGGAAGCATGTTCTGTATCAAACCGTGCAAAAGCTCATGGAAGAGCAAAAGGACGTTTCAAATGACAAGGGGCTAGACGTCGACAATGATAGCAACACTGACCCAAGAAAGCAGGCCAATTCTCTCTTAGAGGATTCTGAATATGTTGAGGCGGTGTTTGAAAAGCTATCGACGCATCTACTGGACTTGTTTTCCTGCTTATTGTGCCAAATTACCGGGGATAGGAGGTTCCAGGAAATTATTTCATTGCAAAGAAAATTGTCAAGACTGTATAAGAGGTCTATCAAAAAGGACACTTCATATTTGCACAAGAGAAGGAACTCCAAAAAAATGGATCAACTATTGCTACAAATCTCCGAACTGTCACAGCGGGTGGAGACAATCACGGAAAAAGATATTCTTAGATCGTCCAAAGAGGCAAACTGGCCTTCCTTCATAGTTGAGAAGGCCAGGGGCAGATTTGAGTTGGAAATAGGTGCAGAACACTAGCTGTGTAAGTTTAATTTTTAAATGTTCTTTGTTTTCCATTGTTACCTTCTCTTTTGCCTGCTGCATGTGTTGCTTCATTTTACCATCTGCAGTTCTGGAAATGTCGTTAAGATAGTTATTTCGCCCAATGATATCGAAATGCACAATGATGCCAGCCTTGATGGCCATCGCCAACATACCGCTCCCAATCTGACGGCCGACTTTGCTCGCAGTAATTCAAGTTACACCGGTCATAATGATGTTTAATTTATTGCCCCAGCCTTAAATAAGAAATAAATCGCTTTGTAGCCAAATGGCATTGGTGGTAGACCGTATCGAAATCAGAAGACGATCCATACCAGGGATCCTTGATGATGATGTGATCTTCCTCATTATCGTGAAAATTTTCTTTACAAAAGTTACCGAAAAGAAAGACCTTTTTCATCAAAGCATTGACTGTATTTTGATCTGATGAGTTTTTTTCAATAATGGCCCGTACCTTGGCCAAGTTACTAAGGTCCATCACAAGAATGTAGTCGCACAATGTAATATCGGCAATGGTAACTGGCCGAGCTCTATGCAGCGATAAGATGCTCGATACGCCAGGCACGATGTTTTCGTTCTTAACAGCAACCTCTATGGAGCGAGAATCTGCCTTCTGGCCTTTGGTATGGGAATACGTTCCAGCAGAGTAGAACGAGATTTGAGGGGCAGATTCGGGAAAGTTATTCTTCACATATGCCTCCAGCATGGATGCAGCCAACGGCGATCTGCAGATGTTTCCAAGGCAAAGGACCAAAACATTCATGCTGAAATACAAAATTTCAAATTCAATGCTTCTTGGAAGCAAATTTTATTGGCCGTTTAATGCTAAATTATAAACATAATTTTGGGGGGACTCTTTTTTTACATGCAAAAGGACGCTTCATACACTGCCCCCACAGGGGGACAGGAGGAGCCTCAGCGGTCAGAGAAAAAGGCGTCGCGAAAATTCCAGTCGATCGTGTCCATTATTCTGTATTGCTTCTCTTCCATTTCAACTACCGTGTTGAACAAGTATCTGCTTTCCGATCTCAATTTCGGGCTTAATTGCTTTCTTTTGGTCTCCCAGGTACGCCATATGCTTTTTATTGCAGTGTTTTTTCACAATGTTCCTTTTGTTGTTTTTAAAAGCGCTTGGTGTGGTCAAGTTTAAGCTTATCAGGCTTCATGAACTAATCCATTGGCTGCCGGTAACCCTTTTACTGTCGGTCATGGTTTTCACGGGGACCAAAATCTTGGAGCATTGCTCGATTTCTCTTGTCACTGTGTTTAAAAATTCTTCGATCCTGCTGGTGGCGTTTGGCGATTGGTTATTGTACAGCAAAAGAGTTTCCTTGCTTTCTTTCTTGAGCTTTGTTGCTGTCATTGTGTCTTCTATGATCGGTGTCTATGGAGATCCAAATTGCACATTCAAGGGCGTTGGATGGCTAGTATTGAACGTCCTCTCTTCCGCATCTTACTTTCTCTCTCTAAAGGGTGTCGCTAGACGTATTTCTTTTAAAAATCTTGATGCCGTTTTTAACAACAATTTGATTATGCTGGCCATTTTTGCTGTGATAAGTCCGTTTGCTGATAATTGGAATGTCGTACTGAGGTAAGCCGGTTGGTTCGATTCATTTACTTTCAGC